GGGGGGGGGGGGGGGGGACTTAATAGAGGACTTACGGTATGTGTGGCCCAAGGAATATGAATTTCTCTTGACCTGAAATTGGGTATAGATTTTAGGTGCGAAATCAGGTGAGCCTAAAATTTGTGCTCCCTGGAAGAAAGGCCTGGAATTGGGTATATTGTTATTCATTTGACTTTTGAAAGAAGCGGTTTAGGTCTCAGAAGGAAAAAACACTTTGCCGAGTTTTCTAGGAGTACCCTGAGGGAGTGGGAATTTGCCCTGCTCACAATACTCTTTCTTCGTGCAGGTGCATTAATTCTTGAAGCCGTGGATAACTCTTTAACTGAACATGAAAGGAAATGCTTCTTAGAGGTCGAAATCAAGCGAAAACAGTAATGGTGATAGAATCTGAAGTATTGACGTCTTAGAGATGAAATCTCTTAAGCTTGATTTACTTATGTATTTCTTTTTAAATTTTATTGATTCTTTTTTTATCATGAATAAAAAGCCTTAGGTGTCAAAATTCAAACGAAGCTAGATCTTCGTTTGCCATATTGTGTTGTTTATTACATCAGTTGCACAAAGTGATATTCTTATTCTGCTGATCTGCGGATTAATAAATGACTACTTTTAATTTCTGTCATGTTCTTTGTTTGTCAATCGTAATTTAATGAAAATAAAAGGCTTCCTCTCCAAACAATCAGGAGTTAGAGATTTAAGAGCCAGAGGTTAAAGTACCTTTATTTCTCAGGCCTGTGAACATGCAATTATTTTTCTATCTTATCTTACATTGAGGGCCCCACCTTTCATTGGCCAAAATTCAATGTCACGTCATCACCAATCAGAACGAATGGCGCCCAGTGCTTCACGGCATTGAATTTTTCCGACTCCCGCATCTCTTTCATAGCATGATGAAGCGACATAGTTGCACTTTGCCCTGCTACTAAATGTTCGTAAAAGTGTCTCATAAACGCATGAGTGGCTTCGTCATCAATCGCCCACAGTGTCGCAATAACAGAACGCGCACCGGCCCCTAAAAAGGCACGTGCAATACCAACCACTCCTTCTACTTGAATCTTTCCTCGACCACTGTTGTAGCAGCTCAAGACAACAAGCTTGGCGTGCACTTTTGCATCCAACACATCTGCCATCGTCAAAAGAAAATCTTTCTTTTTAGGTCTTTTGGCACTGGGAAAATTAGGAGACAAAATAACTTCTCCGTTCTCTGTACGACCATGTGCCGCTATGTGCACTAAAGAAACTGAGTTGAGCCCGCTTAAAACCCTATCTTTTGTAGCGTTCTTTCCAGTGAGAGGCTTGACGTTTAGAATCTGTCCAATCATTTTTACCTCTTCCTCGGCACGTGGAAGCTGCAGAAACGGTTTGCAGCCTTTGATGCGTACAGTTTTCACCCACGGGTTGCCAACAAGTAGAGCCCCCGATGTACTATGGCGGACCTCCGGACATTCTGCTAGCAGCCACAAGGTTGTCAGTGATGGAATCAATCTAATTCTAAGCGTTTCAGATAAATACCTGGAGTTTTGGTCCGCAAGGGCAGCATAAGGAATCAAGAACGATGAACCGTCAGGGACAATGACGAGTTCGTCACCTTCTATCGAGTGTGAAATTGGAGCGATGAATATGTCGTATAATACTTTTAAAGCACCACCCTGGTCTTCGATCTCTCTCTGCAGCTGGGGGCGAATCTCTTTCCACAAGCTTTTGTTCACACCAATCTGTTTGTATGTTTGGTAAGTCACTGATGTCAAGTCATCACTGCTAACTCCCTGATGCACAAAGTCATACAGCTTCCCCCCCTTTAACAGCATCCATATATTCATTGATTGGGTATCATTCATTAGAAATAGCGTGGGTGACGAAATATGGTTTGAAATGATAAGTTCCTTCTGATGTTTCGACAGTGAACGGACCGATTTCCTGACACCATATTGCAATTCCAAGAGGTCCACGAGAGCTTCTGCTCGTCCCGCCTCAGCTGTTAAAAGAGCCTCATGTGTCTTACGTTCGGTGCTTTGTTGTAATTGAAGTCTCACTAAACTATTAACGGAATCACGTTTATTCCGAAAGGCGATTTTCCACTCGTCGTTTCCTTCAAGGAGGACTCTCATTTCCTCTACCAGTTCAATACAGGATTTAAAACACTCCTCGGCTTCGAAGAAGTCGCCAAGAGACCAAAGAACACCAGCAAGATTATGATATCCAAGTTCTTCTGCATCTTTGTTTCCAGTCTCGTTTGCTATACTTCTGGCTAGCTGATAAAATTTCCTTGCTTTTATGAAATCACAGTGATGCTGATAGACACTACCGAGATTCATATATATACTTCGTTCTCCGTCTTTGTTCCCAGTACCCTTTGCGATTCTTAGACTCAGCTGATAAAGCTCGAGCGCTTTTTTCAAATCACCGAGAGACTGACGGGAACTGCCAAGGTTGTTATATATAGTTGCTTCTTGATCTTTGTTTCCAGTACCTTTTGCGATGGTTAGAGCCAGCTGATAAAACTCGGTTGCTTTTTCGAGGTCACTGAGAGACTGATAGGCAACGCCAAGGTTGTTATATATAGTTGCTTCTTGATCTTTGTTTCCAGTATCTTTTGCGATTCTTAGAGCCAGCTGATAAAACTCGATTGCTTTTTTGAATTCACTGAGAGACTTATAGGCACCGCCAAGGTTGTTATATATAGTTGCTTCTTGATCTTTGTTTCCAGTATCTTTTGCGGTTCTTAGAGCCAGCTGATAAAACTCGATTGCTTTTTTGAATTCACTGAGAGACTTATAGGCACCGCCAAGGTTGTTATATATAGTTGCTTCTTGATCTTTGTTTCCAGTATCTTTTGCGGTTCTTAGAGCCAGCTGATAAAACTCGATTGCTTTTTTGAATTCACTGAGAGACTTATAGGCACCGCCAAGGTTGTTATATATAGTTGCTTCTTGATCTTTGTTTCCAGTATCTTTTGCGGTTCTTAGAGCCAGCTGATAAAACTCGATTGCTTTTTTGAATTCACTGAGAGACTTATAGGCACCGCCAAGGTTGTTATATATAGTTGCTTCTTGATCTTTGTTTCCAGTATCTTTTGCGATTCTTAGAGCCAGCTGATAAAACTCGATTGCTTTTTTGAATTCACTGAGAGACTGATAGGCACCGCCAAGGTTGTTATATATAGTTGCTTCTTGATCTTTGTTTCCAGTATCTTTTGCGGTTCTTAGAGCCAGCTGATAAAACTCGATTGCTTTTTTGAATTCACTGAGAGACTTATAGGCACCGCCAAGGTTGTTATATATAGTTGCTTCTTGATCTTTGTTTCCAGTATCTTTTGCGATTCTTAGAGCCAGCTGATAAAACTCGATTGCTTTTTTGAATTCACTGAGAGACTTATAGGCACCGCCAAGGTTGTTATATATAGTTGCTTCTTGATCTTTGTTTCCAGTATCTTTTGCGATTCTTAGAGCCAGCTGATAAAACTCGATTGCTTTTTTGAATTCACTGAGAGACTTATAGGCACCGCCAAGGTTGTTATATATAGTTGCTTCTTGATCTTTGTTTCCAGTATCTTTTGCGATTCTTAGAGCCAGCTGATAAAACTCGATTGCTTTTTTGAATTCACTGAGAGACTTATAGGCACCGCCAAGGTTGTTATATATAGTTGCTTCTTGATCTTTGTTTCCAGTATCTTTTGCGATTCTTAGAGCCAGCTGATAAAACTCGATTGCTTTTTTGAATTCACTGAGAGACTTATAGGCACCGCCAAGGTTGTTATATATAGTTGCTTCTTGATCTTTGTTTCCAGTATCTTTTGCGATTCTTAGAGCCAGCTGATAAAACTCGATTGCTTTTTTGAATTCACTGAGAGACTTATAGGCACCGCCAAGGTTGTTATATATAGTTGCTTCTTGATCTTTGTTTCCAGTATGTTTTGCGATTTTTAGAGCCAGATGATAAAACTCGATTGCTTTTTTGAATTCACTGAGAGACTGATAGGCTAGGCCAAGGTTGCTATATATAGTTGCTTCTTGATCTTTGTTTCCAGTATCTTTTGCGGTTCTTAGAGCCAGCTGATAAAACTCGATTGCTTTTTTGAATTCACTGAGACACTGGTTGGCAAGGCCAAGGTTGTTATATATAGTTGCTCCTTGATCTTTGTTTCCAGTATCTTTTGCGATTCTTAGAGCCAGCTGATAAAACTCGATTGCTTTTTTGAATTCACTGAGAGACTTATAGGCACCGCCAAGGTTGTTATATATACTTGCTTCTTGATCTTTGTTTCCAGTATGTTTTGCGATTCTTAGAGCCAGATGATAAAACTCGATTGCTTTTTTGAATTCACTGAGAGACTGATAGGCTAGGCCAAGGTTGCTATATATAGTTGCTTCTTCATCTTTGTTTCCAGTATCTTTTGCGATTCTTAGAGCCAGCTGATGAAACTCGATTGCTTTTTTGAAATCACTGAGAGACTGATAGGCACGGCCAAGGTTGTTATATATACTTGCTTCTTGATCTTTGTTTCCAGTATCTTTTGCGATTCTCAAAGCCAGCTGATAAAACTCGATTGCTTTTTTGAATTCACTAAGAGACTTATAGGCTAGGCCAAGGTTATTATATATAGTTGCTTCTCCATCTTTGTCTCCAGTATCTTTTAGGATAGTTAAAGCCAGCGGATAAAACTCCAGGTATGCCTGTAAAAATGTAAAACAAAACCTCTTTATAGGGAAGTCATGGTATAGAAGATGTTTTTAATTTAAAGTTATACGCTTCGTGAGGAAGAAAATAGCCGGCAAGATTTTTTGTGGCAATACGAACAGTAAACTCTTTTCTTGCCGATTTAACCGCGATATTTCGGACGACTCCCGCTAATACTGCTGCAGCCAAATTTCCAGCAATACAAAATCCCGCTATTATTACTTGGATGCGTGAGATTGTGACTTTGAAAACAGATTGGCACATATAGCTCGGACAGCAAGTTTCTGAGTATCAGAGTATCACAGTGTCCCCTGCTCTCAAGTATAGGGGTATTACTGACGAACTTTATTTCTTAAACGGATACTACAAGAGCTGATATTTGACTAGTCCCCCTTGACTTCTCCTTCATTTATTTTCTCGGCTATGAAAGTTATCGGACAGCGAATCAAGGGCGCTTTACATTCAACCAAACCTTTCGAAAATTTGGAAACAGAGGCAAATGGTACAGAAATTTCCAGGAGAAGTTTCCAGAAATTCCGGAAACTGTTGAATTTCCGAAATGCGAACCATTCAAACGAAAAGTCTGCCTAGAAATCCCCGGAGAACAAACGAATAGAAAAAAAACTTCCGAAAAAAAAATTGGGTATACCTGGCGAGGTTGTCCTCTTTTTTGGAAGTTTTGAAAAATGCTGTTCCGTTTGCTACTGGAAAATGCCAAAAATCTCAAGCTGACGTTTTGGCTGAATGGAAAGCGCCTAAAGTTTCTGTAAGAAAACTATTTTTCGGACGCTATGTTTTTCTAGTAGTTTATGAACTAATATTTATTTTAGTTGGGGAATGCTGTATGTGGATAGAAAATAGACATTAACTGCCATCAATATTAATTCAAACCCTTGAAATCTCATATTTAACTTTTTCAAGCTCCATCATGCATCACTGATCATCGGTTGAATCGAAACAGCTGAGTTCAATGCAAGAAAGACGAACCAGCCATTCGACTGTACTTAACCTTCGCCGAAAAGGAACAAATGGTGGTATCGATGGAATCTCTTGTATTAGAGTCAACCATATGGTATCATCAGCAATAAGTATTAATATGTAATATGTATGTCACTTCGACAACTTAATCAAAACAATTCAAAATGCCCTTTTATAGAAATAAAATAAAATACCTCGTTCTCCACGGCTCTTCTACCTGTCGCTTTATTTACGCATTTCAACGCCAGTTTTCTTAGTTCAAGCAACGTGGTGTTTTTCGTGTCGATCTTTTCAAGTTGTTAAGGTGTAAAAAATATCGAAATTAAGTTGCAATGGTGGAATATAATTAACTTATCTCATTTTGTTGTGATTCTAGTCCACCAAGCTTCCGGATCGTATCAAATTATACACAACTAGGTGAAAACAACAAGATACACCCCACCCCCCTTTTTTCACTTTGAAAACACGACATCTTTTAAAAAAAACGTGTACCGTATTGAATCGGAAGAGCGTTGCCCCTTATGAGCAGCCTACTTAGAAGCAAACAAAAAAAAAATACAGTCAACCTGTACGGCCCTGTATATAGCGGTCACCCTGTATATTACGGCTACTGAACAACTCTCCGAAAATATTGCTGGATATGTTATATAAGTTGATCTTTATTGAGCGGCCTCCACTCTATAACGGATGGGGTCACCCTTTAGACTCCCAAAGTACACAATTGCATTATTTTTTACTTGTTTATAAAGGTCAACAAATTGAATTACGATCAAATCATGAGCAAACTTTGCCATGTGTGCCCCAAAGACACGGAAAAATGAATGCTAGGGATATCGTCAAATCAGTTAACCTTTTCATGGCAATCGAATGGGGGGAACTACAAGCGTTGGACGAACTCAACATCCAGTTTAGTTTACAGGAAACTTACTTATAGCGGTCGCCCATATCTTAAGGGTGACAGCAGATACAGGTATAACTGTAGAAAACGCAGCAAGCTCCCAGCAACATAGTTAAAGAGAGGATAGTCCTCTCTTGTTAATATCGTTGACACTGTTATTACTACACAGACTTTTTAAAAACTCACTTTTATTAGAAATAACGTTTGTGTTTTTGCGGTCGTTTATGAACAAAACAAAGAAATACTAAACAAATATCACGTACTTCTGTGTAATTCGCAGAAGAATTTTAGATAAGCACCGCCCTCAAATAAGCATCGAACCGTTAGTCGATAAAAAAGGTAATCAGATCGTAACGGAAGTGTGTATAACAAGTTGCGAAAAAAAAAAATCATCTTTCAGCTATGGAGGAATACTTAGAGTAAAAGGATACTGCTAATCCTTGGTCACACCACGTGATCGCCAGCTCAAACAGTTTTAACTTTGCAAACGCTTTCGTTCCTGAAGTTGTAAAATTAAAGCATGCTGAAAACACTTTTTAAGTCTTGTCCTCTTCCCTCCTGTACCATTCAAAATAGCTCATTTGTCGGTGTTCTTATAGTGTATCAATATCTTTGTATGTCGGTCGCAGTGTGATGAACTAGAAGCATATAATCCTTCAGGATGGACTAATAAGTTTTCTATAGACTCAGTTGTGCGTAACTTTCGCGTTTTCAGCTGTTATCATGATTTTGTTTCTTTCATAATTTTCATGTACAGCAATACCCAATTTCCGGACAATTTCAAACAAAAAACCACTCTAAAATTAGGGTTAAAAACGTACATTTGTACAGTTACACTGAAGCATCCATGATAGGTCATGCACGTCATACGTGCCTATGTTCAATAGAATGAAGAACTATGCCGTTGAACTGACTAATCGCAAGTAGCCTACGAGTACAAAATTGTAGTTGCCATTTTTGTGCTATCAAGAGCCCGTGAACAAAAAAACATTTTATGATGACTTTGTTAAGCTCTGAACTCCAAATCTAAACTTCAATTTCTTCCGATATTATTTAAACCTTTGAACTTTGAAGCCGTTTAAACTTTTGTAAGCAAAAGAATTGAATAAAGGCTGCCGTGCGGTGTTGTCACTAAAACATTACCAACATTACAAGTATAATTATGATAACCCAGTCTGTTTCTTAGATACTAATAAGTCAAAAAAAGTCTTCTAAAATTACCTGCTATTATTGGTTTGATTGACAATGGTCGAATGTCCGCAGCGTTTTTTGCATCTACCAGTGAGTAAATGTAATTTCCTACGAATGTTGAAAATACAAACAAACCGCAAAAAGTCACTCACGGCAAACGCAGCGAAGCAAATTCAAAGCAAACAAGAAAAGCGAAAGCTGGTAAGCCCCTGGCGGACTATTCCAAAGCAAGTCACAAACATTCAACATCAGTTGTTAACCAATCAGAAAGTAGGCAATATTTCTTTATTTTGAAAATACAAGTAGCCTTACCTAAACGAAGGTTTGCATATGCTCTGTTGCTGTACAGTTTCGCCTTTAGATCTTCGTCCTTGCAGTTTACTTTAATTCCCTCAGTATAAAAGTAAACGGCGTTGCTGTAATCTTCCTTTAAGTACGCTTCATTACCTTCGGTTTTGTAGACTTCAGCTATTGCTAAAAATAAAGCAGGTTGTTTTATTATGCCATTAAATCGAAAAATAACTACATCAAATATACTGAACATGGGCTTTATAAGTGTTCCAAATTTGGTTATTGGGTTTATTTTCAATGTCAGTACAGTATCCTCGACGCCAGAGCTTGAATCGTAACTGATCAGTTTTCCTGCATCAGACTCCACTCCTGACAAGCTTTGTTTGTTATCCAAGATTTCAATTTTTAACTTGACAGGGAGGGAATAAAAGAAAGAAAAAATGGCGCGAGAGGTTGGGGGCGATTATTTTAAATATTTTCGTCAAGGGCGGGAGGGGGGGGGCGATTATTCGAGGGAGGCGATTAATCGAGGGACGGCTATTATTAGAGGAAAACGGTAACCGTGAAATAAAAACAGTAAACTTATCCTTTCGACAGGAAGGGTGAAAGAAAAAATAAAGAAAGAAAACAAAAATAAAATGGTGAATTATAATTGTGAGTAGGATAAAAGTACAACACGGGACTGCCGTATCCAGCTATTTTTTGTGTTCATTTCCGTCTTCATCTCTTTGCTACAAGTGATGATTAAAAAAAAATAACAGATGTCATTTATTCCCCGGTTAGGCAAATGGTGTCACTTATTGACTCACTCGCTCAGGCCAGCTTTGTAACCAACCATTGCCAACTTACGTTTCGACAATCTCGGTGGCTGATTGATCTTCAGATTCAGAGCAATGTTCTTTTTCTTCAGTTATGAATAATAATTTTGTTACGTAGTCAATCAACTCAGTAACAGGGAGTTACAGTGCCACTTCAGTAACGCGTGACAGAACCAACCCCGGCGTGTATTTGAAAACAGATTCAGGAGTTAATTGCAGCAATGTGCTAGCATTAGAATGACCCTTATAAACATATTATCTCATTTTCGTGCAAGTGAAATAAAATTACTTGTAGCTTTTTAGAACTTGAGGTAAAAAACTTAATTCGTTATTGATCAGTAATACTTTGTTGATAAAAATTCCTGATAAACTACCAAATCTTAAGATTGGATTAACACTAAATTAACCTTTTCTATTATTATTATTATTATTATTATTATTATTATTATTATTATTATTATTATTATTATTATTATTATTATAAAAGGTACCATGTGAAGGTGCTGTGGTTGCACCATAGAATTTCGGCATCCATTATTATAAATGCCTTTCTAATTGTTTCTGTTGATGGGTTCAACCACATAACAAATTATCATGGAAATATTGTTTGGTACTAAAGTGAAAAGCTTTCGACAACCGCAACTGGGCACAATATCACACTATTGAAGCCGGTCTTGTAGTAGAAGTAAACGCATGTAAAATAAGATTGGAGCGGCTAGGGGTTTAAAAGGTACCTCGTGAAACTTTGCCGAACACCAGAATACCGCAAAATTTGTCAATGTAAGGGGCTAAAAATGCAAAACTCTACCATACTCTCCCCTCCCCGAGACAGACTTTTGATTCCAAATGTTCCACCGTGGGTAGGAGTACCTAGAGGTAACGTAAATTCCCAACTCCAAATTAACTGGCCCATTTTAGTTGGTTGCAGGCCCTTTCACCGGAGTTGAGGGTGCTTTGTTTTCCAGTTGAGTGTATTTCGGTTTCCAAAAAATACAGGATACTTGGTTCTTTTCCAATTATACTCCTTTTCATACTTGCCGGGAGCTAATGCAGTATTGTCTATAACGGTGTATCCGCTTGATAAAAGAATTCTTCGGCCACTAATTCTAGAAAAAGCCTGATCGAGATAAAAAGTTATCAAACCGCCTTCAGTAGAGATTATGTTTAACGACTTTGACTCTTTAACCATGCACTTCCGTATGTTGAATGTTTTCAAATGACGTTTTTTTTTTCCTTTTCTAATCTTTTATTTCATTTCTCCTTAGTTTGCTATGTTAAAGGCCTTTTGGTGATATACTATTAACAGTTGTAAGAATCTTTACCTTTCAGTGTGTCATCATCAAAGTTCAGCTCATGTCGGGTACCAGGTGAAGTAACATCACTCTCACTTGCTGCTCCGTTTCCACTCTGTGCCATAATGGTTTGATCTGGAAAAATCAAGTATATTTAAAGCTTCAAATTAATTTTATCTTCACTTGTATAAGCACTGGTACCAAAACAGCCATTCATTTTGCCACAAGTGGTAAACTCACATTAGTAGAAAACTTTTATTGAAACAAATCAGTCAAAATTCTGTGGCAAGCAGTCATGAAACTCGCGGTGGGGTCATTTCTATACAAGACAGTACACGTAATCTGATTCGCTTTCAATCAAGACATGAAACTGCTTTCCAGAATTCAGTAGCCCACTCTCTCAGGCCACCCTAGTAACCAACCATTGCCAACTCACGTTTCGACAATCTCGGTGGCTGATTCATCCTCAGATTTAGAGCGATGATTTTTTTGTTACGTAATCGATCCATGTAGTAGCAGCGAGTTACAGTGCCACCTTAGTAACGCGTGACAGAACCATATTTGAAAACAGAATCAGGAGTCAATTGCAGCAATGTGCCACCTTTAGAATGACCCTTATAAACATATTGTTTCTTTTTGGTCCAAGTGAAACTCGATTAAGTTTACTTGAAACTTTTAAGGACTGAAGGAGATAATGGTCATAATTTGCAACAGCTTTCGTTATTGATAATACTTTGTTGATAAAAATTCGTGATATAAAAACATTGCTAATTAGAGTTATTACATCCACTTTGAAATCACTAGCTATCCGTGCAATCTGATTGGCTCTCAGCAGTGTGATTTATTCCTAAATCGCACCATTTTTTGCTCTAAATCGCATCTATTCCACATCGCGTCATTCATGTTCAAAATCGCATCATTTCTGTTTTAAATCGCACCATTTTTGTTCTATATCGCATCATTTCTGTTTCGAATACAAAATGTGCTTTAAAAGCCTTTTTGTTTTGGCTTTTTAACAAACCGGCTACTTGATCAATAAAATATTAGTACTGACTAAATTCTGCGACTTCAAAATGGATGTAATAAAGTGGTAATTGAACTTCGTGTCGAGCAATTTTGGTCTGAAATCATACTTGTGATTTCAAATCGAACTCGCGCTGCGCACTCGTTCGATTTTGAAATCACACGTATGATTTCAGACCAAATTGCACTCCACACAGTTCAATTACCATTATAAATCCTGTTTGCTACTTAAAGATATTTGAAGGCTATGACCACATTGAAATTACAAAAACTTAAGATTGGATTAACACTAAAATAACCTTTTCAAATAATAAATCATAATAATCATAATCATAATCTTAATGATGCTAATAATTATAATCATAATCATAATAATAATGAGTAATAATAATAAATGATACCATGTCAAGGTGCTGTGGTTACAGTATACGATTTCGGCATCCATTATTATAATTTTCTTTCTAATTGTTTCTGTTCGTGGGTTCAACCAGGGTCTTCAACCGCATAACAAATTATCATGGGAAGATTACTGTTTGACACTAAAGTAAAAACCTTCTACACCCGCATTTGGGCACCACATCACGCTATTGAAGCAGGTCTTGTAGTAGAATTTCATGTATACGCATGCTCGAAAATTAAGATTGCAGGGGGTAGGGGTATACCGAATTCCGTAACACCGCAAAGAAAAAATCGACAAATTCAACAAAACCATGCTAAAAATCACCGAGCCAAAAACAAAAAAATTCCGCTTGTTTATTAATGCAACAATATCAGAATTCAAGACCACAATTACATAAGTACCGCATGAAAATTTGGCAAACACCACAATACTGTAAAATTTCTCAACGTAAGGACCTAAAGATTTAAAACTCTACCATGCTCTCCCGTCTCCAAGACAGACGTTTGATCCCAAGTACCCCACCCCATTGTAATTTATTTCAGGCCCTTTCACCGGAGTTGAGGGTGCTTCGTTTTCCAGTTGAGTGTATTTCGGTTTCCAAAAAATAGAGGATACTTGGTTCTTTTCCCATTCCTGGTTGTTTCCTTTTTACTTGTAGGTCTCTCCGATTCAGCTTCGTATTCGACAATCTTTTTTGCGGTTGTGAAGTACGTCATAAGCAAAACTTTCGATAAAGAGATTTGGGGTGGAACGAAACCCCAGTGGAGTTACTCTGGATCTTTAGTGACGGAGATGATCGAAGGATTTGTTGGGTTTGAAATTTTTGATTCCAGGATTCTTTTGGGGTAGGAAAATTTGGCAAGTATTTTTTTAGTTGGTTTGACCAAAACAGAATGATCATTCACATCTCTTGGAATCCGGAATAACCCTTGGGAACGAAACTTGCTATGGTATAAAAAAAATATAGTGAATTAAAATTGTGAGTACAAAAGATAAGAGTACAATGCGGACTATCGTGTGCAACTTTTTTGTGTACATTTCCGTCTTCGTCTCTTTGCTATAGATTAAAACAAAAAATATGACAAAGATCATTTATTCCCCGGATAGGCAAATGGTGTAACTTGTTAACTCATAAATGACGATGACCATGACGTGACTGACATAGGTCACAGACTTGTGAAACAGTGGCAAATTTGGTCGTTCATTTACTCACTTTCTGAAGTTAAAACTGCCAAAAAAGCTTGAAATGCATTAAATTTGTAGGTTTAGAGAATACTACTGAAGCGTTATGCGCAGTACGTGTGCATCTTTCGGGTTGGCGGGAAGATAGGAGTCGTACTTGCCGGGAGCTAATGCAGTGCTGGATACAACGGTGAATCCGCGAGAGAAAGTAATTCGTTGACCACGAAATCTAAAACAAGCCTAATCTAGATAAAAAATTGAAAAACTACCTACCCTAGACATAATGCTTAACGACTTTCACTCTTTAACCACTTTTGTATGTTGAATTTTTTCAAAAGACGTTTCTTTTTTTTTCTGTATCTTTTATTTCATTTCTCCTTAGTATGCTATGTTAAGGTGATTCGCTGGATTTGCACTGCGCATCTCTTACTGCGTATAAGAAGATGGCCGCCGGAAAAAAAAGAGCATCTCAGTAACATTATTAAAATGAAGTTTACTGAAGAGAAAAGCTATTGGAATTTTTGCTTGCGGTGGTTTCTTGCCGAGAAGAGACTCAGTGTGTTGGGAATGTGCATAACGGAAACAGTACGCGCGCGTGTTACTGAGTTCGACTTCCTCACGGAGAACCTCGATAGTGGATGTTAAACTTGTTCTTACTTTTATTTTAATTTAAACGCTTTCTTTATCACACTGTGTCCTAAGTGAGATATCTCGATGTAAATTCTGTAAACAAGGATTTTTTAAATACTTTCTTCCCCCTTTCACATACATGACATTTTGAAACGCGCCCCAGTCCTCTTTCAAAAATCGGAGAAAATGCATTTGGTGCGCACTTCCTGCAGCTCTAAACGAGTACGGTGACCCCCATATTTTATTTCATGATTTTAATAAGGACGGTGCTTCCTTTTGATGAGACAAAAAATTGGCACAAATCTATGTTCAGTTTTTTGGCAATTTTACTAAATTGTACGGATTGAGCTATCACGAGTCGAATAGCGGGTGTCCAATTTAATTCTACTTTGGAACGTAAATTAAAAACAAGGGCATTAAAAGGCATTTTTCTGGTACGTAAGTAGATAAACAATACATTAAAGTCAAATTCTGTCCGATACCACATGCATCATCGAAAAAGAACCTCTCCTTTTTGTCTAATTTTGGGCTGTGCGCCGTTTTTGTCAAAGGGTCCTAAATAGCCCTATTTGTCAGCATTGTGACGTCAAAACAAGCTCAGTGCCCCCACTTTTTATTAATTTTTTATCATCCTCTTGACTTGTTTCATCAGTGTACCAAGTTTCATCTACAATCTATGTTAGATTCTTTTTCTAAGGAATCACCTTAAAGGCCTTTTGGTGATACACTATTAACAGTTGTAAGAATCTTCACCTTTCAATGTGACATCATCAAGCTTCAGCTCTTGTCCGGTACCAAGTGACGTAACATCACCCTCATTTGCTGCTCCGTTTCCACTCTGTGCCATTACGGTCTCATCTGAAAAAATCAGCATTGAATAAAGCTTTAGATTAATATTATCTCCACTTGTATAAGCACTGGTACCAAAACAGCTATTCATTTTACCACAAGTGGTAAACTTATATTAGCATAAAACTTTTATTCAAACAAATCAATTAAACAATTCTGTGACAGGCAGTAATGAAAAGCGCGACAGTCACGCAATCTCATTCAGTTTTCCATTGTGCTTTCAATCAAGACGTGAAACTGCTTTTCAGAATTCAGTAGCCAACTCACAGCTCAGGCCACCCTAGTAACCAACCATTGCCAACCTACGTTTCGACAACCTAAGTGGCTGATGCATCTTTAGATTCAGAGAGATATTTTTTTTTCAATTATTCATTATTTTGTTACGTAATCAATCCATTTAGTAGCAGCGAGTTACAGTGCCACTTCGGTAACGCGTGACAGAACCATATTTAAAAACAGAATCAGGAGTTAATTGCAGCAATGTGCCATCATTAGAATAACTCTTAAAAAACATGTTATTTCTTTTTGGTCCAATTAACTAAAACTCAGTTAAGTTTACTTGTATATCATAGCCTTAAAGAACTTAAGAAGATAACAGTCATTATTTGCAATAGCTTTCGTTATTGATAATACTTTGTTGATAAAAATTCCTCATAAAAACATTGTTAATTAGATAAATCCCGTTTCCTCTTTATAAACATTTGACGGCTATGACCACATTGACAACAACACTTTTTAGTTTGCTGTGTTAAAGGCCTTTTGGTGATACACTATTAACAGTTGTAAGAATCTTAACCTTTCAGTGTGTCCTTATCAAAGTTCAGCCCTTGTCCGGTACCAAGTGATGTAACATCACTTTCACATGCTGCTCCGTTTCCACTCTGTGCCATGATGGTTTGGTCTGGAAAAATCAGTATAAAGCTGTAAATTAATATTATCTTCAATTGCATAAGCACTGCGACCAAAACAGCCATTCATTTTGCCACAAATGGTAAACTTACATTAGTACAAAATTTTTATTGAAACAAATCGATTAAAAAATTCTGTGGCAGGCAACCATGAAACGCGCGGTGAAGTCATTTTCACATAACAGGACAGTACACGTAATCTGATTCATATTTCCATTGCGCTTTCAATCAAGACACGAAACTGCTTTCCAGAATTCGGTAGCCAACTCACGGCGAGTTTGCCTTTTGGTCGAGGGTCGAGGGTCGAGGGTAACTAGTCGAGGGTCGAGGGTGAATGGTCGAGGGTCGAGGGTAACTAGTCGAGGGTCGAGGGTAAATGGTCGAGGGTCGAAAAATCCTCCACAATCGTTTTTGAATTTTTTTTCAATTTAAAACCTAAAATTCCCAAATAAAGCAACCAAAGGAAAGAAGCGTGACAGGAAGTTCAATAAATACCATAATACCATTAAACTGTTGACTGAGAACTTTGAAGCAGGATCTCAGCTCTAATTTTCTTTAACTATAAGACATTTAAGATTCGATTTAAGATAGAGTACAATGCATCTGCATTTTTTCTTTAAAGTTTTAGATTTGAGAAAGAGTCAATTTCGAGAAAACACCCGGTACTTCCCTTTGAGAAATTTCTATCTCTTGTACTGCCTAAGAATGTGATAATGCTGCAACACCTTATTATCCAATTTCTGCTCTCTTATCTGTCAAGTGATCACTTACGGTTGGTTAAAAAGTTGGTTAAAAAGTAGAAGCAAATTTCAAACTTTTAGCTCTAAAAAGCGGTCGGAATCATTTAAGACAGGTAGTTGCATACAAGAGGTTTCAAATATAGTGATTTGACGTGGAAACTTTTCGTATTTTGGAAAACTGGTAGCTGAGCAGAGGCGGTCGCTTACAGTAGGTGGTCGCAACCGGATGTTCGACTGTATCAAATAAAGAACAACGCCATACAACGCGTCTGTTTTTTTTTTAGCACCCTAAAGCGCGTCCTTACTTTTGTTTCTCCGCTGTTCGTTTGGTATACACCTCTTCTGGGTTATATCGATTCTGCCAAAAACGAATACAACCGCCAATCTCGTAAACCAAGCTCAAGCGCTGCTGAGAGCACATTGTAACTGGTAGGTTGTGGATTTTATCTTTTTATCAGGCGGAATGCTAACTAATCACCTAGGCTGCGAACCGCAGACGCATTTCCGGTCGTCGCTTCTCTACGGAGGGAGAGAAGCGACAACCGGAAATGCGTCTGCGGTTCGCAGGCTACTAATCACCCAATTATCACGCGGTCCCGTTCTCGTTGCACCACAAACTTTCGATCTCTTCCTTTACTCCTCCGCACTTCGCTTTCATTTCGGAATTTCAAGAGGCTTTAAACCGATGGTGTGAATTTCTTGTTAGTATTTGCTATAGTTGTTTGCCAGCCTGTGAAGTCTGTGAATGCGGCATTTGACAAGTTGTGTTTATTACGTTGTTATCGTTGAGTTTTCCATGTTTTTGTCTTACAGGCAGTAAAATAATCACGCTGACCCAAGTCTCACATAGGACAAAACTAGTGGACGTGGGAAATATTAAATACAAACAGTGAAAGTTACCAGATTAGCAGCCTTTTCATAAGCGAGAGAAACGTTAGACAAGAAAACCATTGGGTCTCTGCTTTCAATATTCAATAATATTTACTCGAGTGTTACAACGATATATGATGCACGTGCCACTAGATGTTAGTGTAATATCACCTTCATCACCGTGGGAGTGTAAAAGTTATAAACAACACAAGACAAATAAAACAGGCACCGGAACCTCGAGTAAACACGAGCCTACTTGAAAATTTGATTTGACGACGTTCAGAAATAATTGTGGAGGATTTTTCGACCCTCGACCATTTACCCTCGACCCTCGATTAGTTACCCTCGACCCTCGACCATTTACCCTCCACCCTCGACTAGTTACCCTCGACCCTCGACCCTCGACCAAAAGGCAAACTCCTCACGGCTCAGGCCACCCTAGTAACCAACCATTGCCAACTCACGTTTCGACAATCTCGGTAGCTGATTGATCTTCAGATTCAGAGCGATGTTTTTTTTTCAATTATTTGTTATTTTGTTACGTAGTCAAGCCATTTAGAAGAAGCGAGTTACAGTGCCACTTCAGTAACACATGACAGAACCATGTTTAAAAAAAGGAACCAGGAGTTAATTGCAGCAATGTGCCATCATTAGAATAACTCTTAAAAAACATTATTTCTTTTTGGTCCAATTAAGTGAAACTCTGTTAAGTTTACTTGTATATCATAGCCTTATAGAACTTAAGAAGATAATAGTCACAATATGCAACAGCTTTCGTTATTGATAATACTTTGTTGATAACAACTCCTCATAAAAACATTGGTAATTAGATAAATCCCGTTTGCTCTTTATAAACATATGGCGGCTATGACCACATTGACAACAACACTTTTTAGTTTGCTGTGTTTAAGGCCGTTTGGTGATACACTATTAACAGGTGTAAGAATCTTTACTTTTCAGTGTGTCATCATCAAAGTTCAGGCCTTGTCCGGTACCAAGTGGCGTAAAATCACTGTCACATGCTGGTTCGTTTCCACTCTGTGCCATAATGGTTTGATCTGGAAAAATCAGCATAATGATGTAAATTAATATTATCTTCAATTGTATAAGCACTTGTACCAAAACAGCCTTTCATTATACGACAAGTGGTCAACTTACTTTAGAATAAAACTTTTATTAAAACAAATCAATTATTGTGGCAGGCAGTCATAAAACGCGCGGCGAAGTCATTTTCATGCAACAGGACACTGTACACGTAATCTGAATCAGATTTGCATTGCACTTTTTATCAAGATTGAAAGTGCTTTTCAGAATTCAGTGGCCAACTCACGGCTCAGGCCACCCTAGTAACCAACCATTGCCAACCTAAGTTTCGACAACCTCAGTGGCTGATTTATCTTCAGATTCAGAGCGATGTTTTTTTTAAATTATTCATTATTTTGTTACGTAGTCAATCCATTTAGTAGCAGCGAGTTACAGTGCCACTTCAGTAACGCGTGACAGAACCTTATTGAAAAACAGAATCGGGAGTTAATTGCAGCAATGTGCCATCATTACAATGACCCTTAAAAAACACATTATTTCTTTTCGGTCCAACTAAGTAAAACTCGGTTAACTTTACTTGTATATCATAGCTTTATAGGACTAAAGAATAAAATAGTCATAATTGGCAACAGCTTTCGTTATTGATAATACGATGTTGATAAAAATTCTTCATAAAAACATTGTTAATTAGATAAATCCCGTTTGCTACTTATAGATGTTTCCCGGCTATGACCACATTGACAGCAACACTTTTTAGTTTGCTGTGTTAAAGGCCATTTGGTGATACACTATTAACAGTTGTAAGAATCTTTACCTTTCAGTGTGTCATCATCAAAATTCAGCTCTTCTCCGGTACCAACTGATGTAACATCACTCTCACATGCTGCTTTGTTTCCACTCTGTGCCTTGATGGTTTGATCTGGAAAAATCAGTATAAAGCTGTAAATTAATATTATCTTCAATTGTATAAGCACTGCGACCAAAACAGCCATTCATTTTGCCACAAATGGTAAACTTACATTAGTATAAAATTTTTATTGAAACAAATCAATTAAACAATTCTGTGGCAGGCAACCATGAAACGCGCGGTGAAGTCATTTTCATATAACAGGACAGTACACGTAATCTAATTCATATTTCCATTTCGCTTTCAATCAAGACATGAAACTCCTTTCCAGAATTCAATGCAGCACTCACGGCTCTGGCCACCCTAGTAACCAACCACAGCCAACTCTCGTTTCGACAATCTCGGTAGCTGATTGATCTTCAGATTCAGAGCGATCTTTTTTTTTTTCAATTATTCATTATTTTGTTACGTAGTCAATCCATGTAGTAGCAGCGAGTTACAGTGCCGCGTGACAGAACCATGTTTCAAAACAGAATCGGGAGTTAATTGAAACAATGTGCCATCATTAGAATAACTCTTAATAAACATGTTATTTCTTTTTTGTCCAATTAAGTGGAACTCGGTTGAGTTTACTTGCATATCATAGCCTTATAGAAATTAAGAAGATAATAGTCCTAATTTACAACAGCTTTCGTTATTGATAATACTTTGTTGATAAAAAATTCCTCATAAAAACATCGTTAATTAGATAAATCCCGTTTGCTATTTATAAACATTTGGCGGCTATGACCACATTGACAACAACACTTTTTAGTGTGCTGTGTTAAAGGCCATTTGGTGATACACTATTAACAGTTGTAAGAATCTTTACCTTTCCGTGTGTCCTTATCAAAGTTCAGGCCTTGTCCGGTACCAAGTGATGTAACATTACTCTCACATGCTGCTCTGTTTCCACTCTGTGCCATGATGGTTTCATCTGGAAAAATCAGTACAAAGCTGTAAATTAATATTATCTTCAATTGTACAAGCACTGCGACCAAAACAGCCATTCATTTTGCCACAAATGGTAAACTTACATTAGCATAAAATTTTTATTGAAACAAATCAATTAAACAATTCTGTGGCAGGCAGTCATGAAACGCGCGGTGAAGTCATTTTCATATAACAGGACAGTACAGTTAATCTGATTCATATTTCCATTTCGCTTTCAATCGAGACATGAAACTGCTTTCCAGAATTCAATGCCCCACTCACGGCTCAGGCCACCCTAGTAACCAACCACTGCCAACTCACGTTTCGACAATCTCGGTAGTTGATTCATCTTCAGATTCAGAGCGATGTTTTCTTTTCAATTATTCATTATTTTGTTACGTAGTCAATCCATTTAGTAGCAGCGAGTTACAGTGCCACTTCAGTAACGCGTGACAGAACCATATTTAAAAACAGAAGCAGGAGTTAATTGCAGCAATGTGCCATCATTAGAATAACTCTTAGAAAACATATTATTTCTTTTTGGTCCAATAAAAAGAAACGCGGTTAAGTTTACTTGTATATCATAGCCTTATAGAACTTAAGAAGATAATAGTCATAATTAGCAAAAGCTTTCGTTATTGATAATACTTTGTTGATAACAATTCCTCATAAAAACATTGGTAATTAGATAAATCCCGTTTGCTCTTTATAAACATATGGCGGCTATGACCACATTGACAACAACACTTTTTAGTTTGCTGTGTTTAAGGCCATTTGGTGATACACTATTAACAGGTGTAAGAATCTTTACTTTTCAGTGTGTCATCATCAAAGTTCAGCCCTTGTCCGATACCAAGTGGCGTAAAATCACTCTCACATGCTGGTTCGTTTCCACTCTGTGCCATAATGGTTTGATCTGAAAAATCAGTATAAAGCTGTAAATTAATATTATCTTCAATTGTATCAGCACTGCGACCAAAACAGCCATTCATTTTGCCACAAATGGTAAACTTACATTAGTATAAAATTTTGATTGAAACAAATCAATTAAACAATTCTGTGGCAGGCAGTCATGAAACGCTCGGTGAAGTCATTTTCATATAACAGGACAGTACACGTAATCTGATTCATATTTCCATTGCGCTTTCAATCAAGACATGAAACGGCTTTCCAGAATTCAATGCTCCACTCACGGGTAACCAACCATTGCCAACCTACGTTTCGACAATCTCGGTAGCTGATTGATCTTCAGATTCGGAGCGATGTTTTTTTTTTTCAATTATCATTATTTTGTTACGTAGTCAATCCATTTAGTAGCAGCGAGTTACAGTGCCACTTCAATAACGCGTGACAGAAGCATCTTTAAAAACAGAATCGGGAGTTAATTGCAGTAATATGCCAGCATTACATGACCCTTAAAAAACACATTATTTCTCTTTGGTCCAATTACGTGAAACTTGGTTACGTTTACTTGTATATCATAGCTTTATAGGACTTAAGAAGATAATATTCATAATTTGCAATAGCTTTCGTTATTGATACTACTTTGGCGATAAAAATTCCTCATAAAAACATTGTTAATTAGATAAATCCCGTTTGCTACTTATAGATATTTGGCGGCTATGACCACATTGACATCAACACTTTTCAGTTTGCTTTGTCAAAGGCCATTTGGTGATACACTATTAACAGTTGTAAGAATCTTTACTTTTCAGTGTGTCATCATCAAAGTTCAGCCCTTGTTCGGTACCAAGTGATGTAACATCACTCTCACATGCTACTCCGTTTCCACTCTGTGCCATAATGGTTTGCTCTGGAAAAATCAGCATAAAGATGTACATTAATATTATCTTCAATTGCATAAGCACTGCGACCAAAACAGCCATTCATTTTACCACTAGTGGTCAACTTACTTTAGTATAAAACTTTAATTGAAACAAATCAAATATTGTGGCAGGCAGTCATAAAACGCGCTGCGAAGTCATTTTCATACAACAGGACACTGTACACGTAATCTGAATCAGATTTGCATTGCACTTTCCATCAAGAGTGAAAGTGCTTTTCAGGATTCAGTGGCCAGCTCACGGCTCAGGCCACCGTAGTAACCAACCATTGTCAACCTACGTTTGGATAACCTCAGTGGCTGATTCATCTTCAGATTCAGGGCGATGTTTTTTTTTTAAATTATTTATTATTTTGTTACGTAGTCAATCCATTCAGTAGCAGCGAAATACAGTGCCACTTCAGTAACGCGTGAAAGAGCCATATTTAAAAACATAATCAGGGGTTAATTGCAGCAATGTGCCATCATTACAATAACTGTTAAAAAACATATTATTTCTTTTTGGTCCAATTAAGTGAACACTGTTAAGTTTACTTGTATATCATAGCCTTATAGAACGTAAGAACATAATAGTCATAATTTGTAACAGCTTTCGTTATTGATAATACTTTGTTGATAAAAATTCCTCATAAAAACATTGTTAATTAGATAAATCAGGGGCACCCAACGAGAATATAGTTCAAAACCACTTAAACATAGCATTGTTAAACGTATTTTAGTATTTAAACGGTAGATATAGGCATATTTTTATCCCCTAAAAATGTTTCATGTGTTCGGATTTCCTAGCTGAAAGTCTCGAGATGCGAAAATCAAGGGATCAAAACTTACCTTTTCGAAAATTTCAGCCAGAAAAAAGGCTCTCGAAAATTCTAGGTGAGCTTTTTAGGGTAAAAATCCTTTAAAAATGGGCAATTACACCAATTTTTAGATGTTCGAAAATCCTAGGAGAGGCAGGCAAGCAAGAAATTTTACAAAAAATGTTCCGAAAATTCTAGATCTCAAATCGTGTTCCGAACAGATATTTTCCGAAAATTGACGTTGGGTGCCCCTGATAAATCCCGTTTGCTCGTTATAAACATTTGGCGGCTATAACCGCATTGACAACAGCACTTTTTAGTTTGCTGTGTTAAAGGCCATTTGGTGATACACTATTAACAGTTGTAACAATCTTTACCTTTCAGTGTGTCATCATCAAAGTTCAGCCCTTGTCCGGTACCAAGTGATGTAACATCACTCCCACATGCTGCTCCGTTTCCATTCTGTGCCATAATGGTTTGATCTGGAAAAATCAGCATAAAGATGTAAATTAATATTATATTCAATTTTATAAGCACTGGTACCAAAACAGCCATTCATTTTACCACAAGTGGTCAACTTACTTTAGTATAAAACTTTAATTGAAACAAATCAATTAAACAATTCTGTGGCAGGCACTCATGAAACGCGCGGTAAAGTCATTTTTATATAACAGGACAGTACACGTAATCTGATTCATATTTCCATTGCGCTTTCAATCAAGACATGAAACGGCTTTCCAGAATTCAATGCCCCACTCACGGGTAATCAACCATTGCCAACCTACGTTTGGACAATCTCGGTAGCTGATTGATCCTCAGATTCGGTGCGATGTTTTTTTTTTCAATTATCATTATTTTGTTACGTAGTCAATCCATTTAGTAGCAGCGAGTTACAGTGCCACTTCAGTAACGCGTGACAGAAGCATATTTAAAAACAGAATCGGGAGTTAATTGCAGCAATGTGCAGCATTACAATGACCCTTAAAAAACACATTATTTCTTTTTGGTCCAATAACGTGAAACTTGGTTACGTTTACTTGTATATCATAGCTTTATAGGACTTAAGAAGATATTATTCATAATTTGCAATAGCTTTCGTTATTGATACTACTTTGGCGATAAAAATTCCTCATAAAAACATTGTTAATTAGATAAATCCCGTTTGCTACTTATAGATATTTGGCGGCTTTGACCACATTGGCATCAACACTTTTTAGTTTGCTTTGTTAAAGGCCATTTGGTGATACACTATTAACAGTTGTAAGAATCTTTACTTTTCAGTGTGTCATCATCAAAATTCAGCTCTTGTCCGGTACCAAGTGATGTAACATCACTCTCACATGCTGCTCCGTTTCCACTCTGTGCCATAATGGTTTGCTCTGGAAAAATCAGCATAAAGATGTACATTAATATTATCTTCAATTGCATAAGCACTGCGACCAAAACAGCCATTCATTTTACCACAAGTGGTCAACTTACTTTAGTATAAAACTTTAATTGAAACAAATCAAATATTGTGGCAGGCAGTCATAAAACGCTCGGCGAAGTCATTTTCGTACAACAGGACAGTACACGTAATCTGAATCAGATTTGCATTGCACTTTCGATCAAGAGTGAAACTGCTTTCAAGAATTCAGTGGCCAACTCACGGCTCAGGCCACCCTAGTAACCATCCATTGCCAACCTACATTTCGACAACCTCAGTGGCTGATTCATCTTCAGATTCAAAGCGATGTTTTTTTTCAATTATTCATTATTTTGTTACGTAGTCAATCCATTCAGTAGCAGCGAGTTACAGTGCCACTTCAGTAACGCTGAAAGAGCCATATTTAAAAACAGAATCAGGGGTTAATTGCAGCAATATGCCGTCATTAGAATAACTCTTAAAAAACATATTATTTCTTTTTGGTCCAATTAAGTGAAACTCGGTTAAGTTTACTTGTATATCATAGCCTTATAGAACTTAAGAAGATAATAGTCATAATTTGCAACCGCCCTCGTTATTGATAATACTTTGTTGATAAAAATTTCTCATAAAAACATTGTTAATTAGATAAATCCCGTTTGCTACTTATAGACATTTGGCGGCTATGACCACACTGACAACAACAATTTTTAGTTTGCTTTGTTAAAGGCCATTTGGTGATACACTATTAACAGTTGTAAGAATCTTTACTTTTCAGTGTGTCATCTTCAAAGTTAAGCTCTTGTCCGGTACCAAGTGGCGTAAAATCAGTCTCACATGCTGATCCGTTTCCACTCTGTGCCATAATGGTTTGATCTGGAAAAATCAGTATAAAGAGGTAAATTAATATTAACTTCAATTGTATAAGCACTGGTACCAAAACAGCCATTCATTTTACCACAAGTGGTAAACTTACTTTAGTTTAAATCTTTTATTGAAACAAATCAATTATTGTGACAGGCAGTCATGAAACGCTCGGCCAAGTCATTTTCGTACAACGGACAGTGCACGTAATCTGAATCAGATTTGCATTGCAAGAGTGAAACTGCTTTCCAGAATTCAGTGGCCCACTCTCGGCTCAGGCCACCCTAGCAACCAACCATTGCGTATTCACGTTTCGGCAACCTCGGTAGCTTTTTCATCTTTAGATTCAGGGCGATCTTTTTTACCATTTTTACCTTTTTTTGTTACGTAGTCAATTTCATTAGTCACGTTGGTGATACACTATTAACAGTTGTAAGAATCTTCACCTTTCAATGTACCATCATCAAAGTTCAGCTCTTGTCCGGTACCAAGTAAAGTAACATCGCTCTCATTTGCTGCTCCATTTCCACTCTGTGCCATGATGGTTTGACCTGGAAAAATTGGTATTGAATAAAGCTTTAGATTAACATTATCTTCACTTGTATAAGCACTGGTACCAAAACATCCATTCATTTTGCCACAAGCAATAAACTTATATTAGCATAAAACTTTTATAGAAACAAATCAATTAAACAATTCTGTGGCAGGCAGTCATGAAAAGCGCGACAGTCACGCAATCTCATTCAGTTTTCTATTTCGATCTATTGCGGTTTTAATCAAGACGTGAAACTGCGTACTTTTCAGAATTCAGTGGCCAACTCACGGCTCAGGCCATCCTAGTAACCAACCATTGCGAACCTACGTTTCGACAACCTTATTGGCTGATTCATCTTCAGATTCAGAGCGATTTTTTTTTTCAATTATTTTTTTTTGTTACTTAGTCAATCCATTTAGTAACAGCGAGTTACAGTGCGACTTCAGTAACGCGTGAAGGAACCATGGTTAAAAACAGAATCAGGAGTTAATTGCAGCAATGTGCCATTATTAGAATAACTCTTAAAAAACGTATTATTATTCATTTAAAATATTTCCCTAATTCTGATTGGCTAAAAGCTTACTCTTAATTTACCATAACCAGTTACTGATGTCCAAATTTGGAAGAATTTTGTGTTTAACGAGGAAATGACGTCAAAAATGCAGCCTTCTACAGGTTAATGCACCGTTAACCGAGAAGACTTGGGACCGAGGTTGAGTTGTTTTGGTTCTGAAAACAAAAAATGGCGGACATTTTACTCGTTTCAAGAGAAAGAACTAGGCGAAATAATAGCTAAAAACATGCCAAGAACAGCAAGAACACAACTGGAAGGGCGACATTTTCTATTTGGAGAATATTTGCGAAGCTAAACAACACTAAACGTGCACTATTGAAGATGAACTTAACATCGATGGATCGATGCGGGTAAGCTTGTTTTAGCTATGTTTTTAATCTAGGAATTATTTTGAATGAATAATAAAACAATTATTGAATTCGGATTTCGTATCATATGAAGAATTATGGAGATCTCAGAGGGTGGTATCCGCCTCGCCCTACGGTCTCGACGGACAACACCCTCCTCGATCTCCATAATTCTTCATAAGATACTCAGCCTCATTCATTAATTGTTAAATTATTTCTTTTTGGTCCAATTAAGTGAAACTCGGTTAAGTTTACTTGTATATCATAACTTTACAGAACTTAAGAAGATAATAGTCATAAAATGCAACAGCTTTCGTTATTGATAATACTTTGTTGATAAAAGTTCCTCATAAAAACAATGTTAATTAGAACAATCCCGTTTGCTACTTAAAGATACTTGGCGGCCATGACCACACTGACAACAACACTTTTTTTACTTACAAACTACCAAAACTTAAGATTGGATTAACAGTAAAATAACCTTTTCAATTAATAATAATAATGATCATCATCATAATAATAATAATGGTACCATGTGAAGGTGCTGTGGTTGCACCATAGGATTTCGTCATCCATTAATATAAATGCAGCCTTTCTAAATGTTTCTTCTGATGGGTTCAACGACTGTCTTCAACCGCATAACAAATTACCATGGGGATATTGTTTGGTAGTGAAAGTATACGCATGCTCAAAAATTAAGATGGGAGCTGCTATTGGAGCGGCTAAGGGTATATTGAACTCCGTAAATCCGAAAAGAAAAATCGACAAATTCGACAACTTCAACCACGCTAAAAATCGCC